GTTTATTCCGCCATTTTGATTGATGTTTTTGTAAAGCAGTGAACCTTAAAAACGCGTATAAGGTTTTTTAAGCTATAATTTTATAAAACGTGTTTAAGCTAAAATTGACTTTTAAGTCTTCTAACTACTAAACTTTTACGTAAAATGAAACTTTTTGTCATTTACTGAATGTGTTAAATTATAAAACTGTGCAACAGTTTTATAATTTAAGACAAATCTTATATGTTTAATTGAAAAAGTAAATATTTTGAAAATTAATTTTGTCTATATATATATTAGATGTTCAAGAGATCAGAGCCGAAGAGGTCTTGCCAAGTAAGCTAATTTTGTATGAGAAGGATACGTTACAAAGATATATATTTCACCAATTTCAGCAATTTGTTAATTATAACTTTTTTTTAATGTTTAGCGGAAATAATGGACAAGCTAAGTGAGGAATTTTGTTGTTGTTTTTTGTTTTTTTTGTAAGCAAATACATTTATGCTTTTTTAGTTTTTTTAAAGTTATTTAGCAACTGACTTTTGTCAGTTGTGACAGTTAGTCAGTCAACAAGTGACTTTTGTAACTTTTAAATTTATTTTATTTAGAAAAATTAGAAGATTCTGTTGAGAATCTAAGTAAGCAATTTGTTATTGTTGTTGTCATGCTCTTTATTTTTTTTATTACATATTTATTTAACATAAAGTTATTCTATATTTGGCAAGTTAGTTTATTTTAATGTTTATAAGTTTTTCATTTTATTTAGAAAAATTAGAACATTCAATGGGTAAACTGAATTTGATTATATTACATTTGTGTATTATAGATAAAGATATAGCATTTTACTTTCAAAAAAAAAGGTGTATTCTATGGTCTTTTAGCTTTTTTGATACAAATTTTAGCATTTTTTTTTATAGGGCTTATATTTCAACAACTTAGTAAGTTACTATATTGTTCTTGTGGATTGTTTCTTTAGTTTATTTTTTATTTTTTTTTTGTCGCTTTTTTCTTTTTTGGTTTGTTTTGTTTTGTGATTGTTATTTTTACCTTTTGTTTTGTTCCAACTTTATTTATAGATTTCCTAAAGTTGACAAATATTCTGCATGTTTAACATGCAGAATATTTGTCAACTTTATTATTTATACTTGTCAAAAACTCATTAACATTAGGAAAGAAACTAACATTGTTTGTTTCTTTCCTAATGTTAATGAGTTTTTTTTTATTCTATTTAGAAAATTTAGAAAATTCAATTGGTAAGCAAAGTAGACTTATGTTTCTTTTTGTTTATTTTTAACACACAATTTTTTGATGTTTGTGTGCGGTTTTATCACTCTAAAATAAACTGTTTAATTGATTAGTTTATGTAAATATATTTTTTACCTCCACTATAGCGTCATCTGCAGTACCATCAGGTAATGTGTTTTGCATTCTTATGCCGTTTTAAGAGTGGTATGTGTGTTAAAACTTAAAGATAGCATATCTTAATTTACAGATTACTTTATTTATTTATTTTTTTGTCTCTACATTAGCACCTCAAGCAATAATATCAGGTAATCTGCTTAGCATACTTATGCAGTTTTATGGGTTTTATGTGTATTTAAACTTAATCATTACTGTTTTCATGCAATTACATAAATGTTTAACATATGTTACTTTATACACTTTTTTTTTTACCTTTACAATAGCACCAATGTCATCATATGCAGTAACATCAGGTAATGTGTTTTGCATACTTATTCAGTTTTATGAGTGTTATGTGTATTGGAACTTTAACATTACTTTTTTCATGTTTGTAAACAATTACATAAATGTATAACATATGTTACTTTAAACACTTTTTTTTTTTTTAATATTCACAATAGCATCAATATCATCTGCAGTACCATCAGGTAATGTGTTTTGCATACTTATGCAGTTTTATGAGTGTTATGTGTATTAAAACTTAAAGATAGCATATGTTAATTTACAGATTACTTTATTTATTTATTTTTTCTCTACATTAGCACCTCAAGCAATAATATCAGGTAATCTGCTTAGCATACTTATGCAGTTTTATGGGTTTTATGTGTATTTAAACTTAATCATTACTGTTTTCATGCAATTACATAAATGTTTAACATATGTTACTTTATACACTTTTTTTTTTACCTTTACAATAGCATCAATATCATCTGCAGTACCATCAGGTAATGTGTTTTGCATACTTATGCAGTTTTATGAGTGTTATGTGTATTGAAATTAAACATTACTTTTTTCATGTTTGTTATCAATTACATAAATGTTTAACATATGTTACTTTATACACTTTTTTTTTTTTACTTTCACAGTAGCATCAATATCATCTGCAGTACCATCAGGTAATGATGTAATTTAATGAAAAACTTAAAGATTGCATATCTTATTTTGCACATCACTTTATTTCTTTATTTTTTTGTCTATACATTAACACCTCAAGCAATAATATCAGGTAATCTGTTTAGCATACTTATGCAGTTTTATGAGTTTTATGTGTATTGAAACTTAATTTTTTTTTTCATGTTTTCATGCAGTTTCATAAATGTTTAACATATGATACTTTATACACTTTTTTTTTTTTTTTACTTTCACAATAGCATCAATATCATCTGCAGTGCCATCAGGTAATGTGTTTTGCATACTTATGCAGTTTTATGGGTTTTATGTGTATTGAAATTAAACATTACTTTTTTCATGTTTGTTATCAATTACATAAATGTTTAACATATGTTACTTATTACACTTTTTTTTTTTTTACTTTCACAATAGCATCAATATCACCTGCTGTACCATCAAGTAATGTGTTTTGCATACTTATGCAGTTTTATGGGTTTTATGTGTATTGAAACTTAAACATTACTTTTTTCATATTTGTTATCAATTACATAAATGTTTAAAATATGTTACTTAACACACTTTTTTTTTTACCTTCACAATAGCATCAATATCATCTGCAGTGCCATCAGGTAATGTGTTTTGCATACTTATGCAGTTTTATGAGTGTTATGTGTATTAAAACTTAAAGATAGCATATGTTAATTTACAGATTACTTTATTTATTTTTTTGTCTCTACATTAGCACCTCAAGCAATAATATCAGGTAATCTGTTTAGCATACTTATGCAGTTTTATGGGTTTTATGTGTATTGAAACTTAGACATTACTGTTTTCATGCAATTACATAAATGTTTAACATATGTTACTTTATACACTTTTTTTTTTTTTTACTTTCACAGTAGCATCAATATCATCTGCAGTACCATCAGGTAATGATGTAATTTAATGAAAAACTTAAAGATTGCATATCTTATTTTGCACATCACTTTATTTCTTTATTTTTTTGTCTATACATTAACACCTCAAGCAATAATATCAGGTAATCTGTTTAGCATACTTATGCAGTTTTATGAGTTTTATGTATATTGAAACTTAAATTTTTTTAAATGTGTTTTGCATGCTTATGCAGTTTTATGAGTGTTATGTGTATTGGAACTTAAACATTACTTTTTTCGTGTTTGTATGCAATTACATAACTGTTTAATATATGTGTTTGTTTATATACTTTTTTATTTATTTCTGCAATAGCAACAGTATCAACTGCAGTACCACCAGGTAATGTGTTTTCCATACTTATGCAGTTTTTCTGTATTTATGCAGTGTTATGTGTATTGAAACTTAAACATTACTTTTTTCGTGTTTGTATGCAATTACATAACTGTTTAATATATGTGTTTGTTTATATACTTTTTTATTTATTTCTGCAATAGCAACAGTATCAACTGCAGTACCACCAGGTAATGTGTTTTCCATACTTATGCAGTTTTTCCGTATTTATGCAGTGTTATGTGTATTGAAACCTAAACATTACTTTTTTCATGTTTGTATGCAATTACATAACTGTTTAATATATGTGTTAGTTCATATACTTTTTTATTTATTTCCATAATAGCAACAATATCTGCAGGACCATCAGGTAATCTGTTTTGCATACTTATGCAGTTTTGTGGGTGTTATGTGTATTTGTGTAGGTATATATGAAATTTAAACATTGCATATCTATATTTTTACATTACTTTATTTATTTATTTTTTTTGTCATAACTTTTTTTTTTTTGAAGTCTAAATAGTTTTAGATAATATTTTTATTGGTTGTTTTGTGCAGTATTGTATTCAAATTTATTTCTTTTTTTGTTTTTGTTTTTTAGCATCATATCAAGATTTCCTGCAATATCGCTCCCAGCACCCAGGTCCAATATCTTCAAGAGCTTTTTACCGGTGGAGTCAATATGGGGGAGATGATCCCTCCTTTAGATGGAGGAGAGAAGCCCCATATGACACCACTGGTAGAAGGAGGGGTGCTGGAAAGCGATTTAACTCTTTTAATTTCTACCAGTAGCTTTTTTAAACTACTGGTAGAATTATCTTTTTTATTTATAAAGAAAATTGAATTTTTAAAAAAATGTTTTTTTAATTTCGCAATTTTTTATTATTTTAATTTATATACTTTTACTATTTTATTTTTTTGATTTTTAATTCTGTTTTTAAATCCTAAACTAACAAAGAACTCTTATGTTATAAAAGTTTTTAATAATTTGTCTATAAGTTTTTTTATTAATTTACGTTTTTACATCTTTTTATCCTCATTTTTAATTTTAATAATACTAAATTTTCTTTTGTATTAACTTTAATTTGTTAAGTGTTATATAGTTTTTGAAAGATTGGGTAAATATATTTAAAGTTTTTCTTTTTCTATGATATCTGTTTAATATGTCTAATATATGCACTATACACATATTAATCTCTTTACATTATTCTCTTTAGATATATTATAAAATAGTATTTAAAATCAGTTGTCAGCCACATGTGGTCTATATGATGCAACATGTTTGCAATTGTTGGCATGTCATTTAAAAATATGTAACTAATTTTGCTTTTCAATATTACCATTAATATGACTTTTAAAATAATAAAATTTTTTATTTGTTTCAAAAAATACTGTTTTATTACTTACAATATAGTATGTTATTACAAGATACTTCTGGCTTTTTCTCTGTTTCAAACCAGTTTAGTTATATCTTTTGTTCACAAATTTTATTAGATGCTATACACATAGTTTCATAGGTTTAAACTGATAAATAGCACTTTATTGTTTTTGTTCATTTTAGATTAGTATAGCAAAAAATTATTAAGATAAAGTTTTATCAAACATAAATAATTTCTCAATTATGTCAAGTAACCTAAGAGCTGAAAATAGAAGAAATCGTCGAAATGAAAGAAATGAGGCCAGACGAGAAGAAATTAATCGTTGCCAAAATGAGAGAAATGAGGCCAGACGAGAAGCAATTAATCGTCGCCAAAATGAAAGAAATGAGGCTAGGCGAGAAGAAATTAATCGTCGCCAAAATGAAAGGAATGAGGCTAGACGTGAAGAAGTTAATCGTCGCCAAAATGAAAGAAATGAGGCTCGACGAGTATTATTTAGGCGTGAAATGCATTGCATAGCAAGAAATAATGTTTTTATAGAGAGTAATTACCTAGGAGAAATGAACCATAATTGTCAGTATTGTGGTGCTAAAAAATTTTTAAATGAAACACATTTTTTGTGCTGCCATTCGGGAAAGGTTGTCTTACCTCCACTTTCACCTTATCCACCGCTGATGGTTGATTTAATGACAGGCAACCATGTTGATCGTGCTTTGAATCAAAATTTTTTCAAGCATATACGAAATTATAATGCCTGTCTATCTTTTGCTTCATTCATAGCCACAATAGATCCTCCGTCAAATCGTGGTCCACCCTGTTTTAGAATTAGTGGGCAAATTATGCATCGTATTGGTAATCTAAGACATCAGCAAGGGGATCCACCTGCTTATTGTCAATTATATGTTTATGATCCTAATACTGCTTTAAACTTTCGAATGGAGCAAAATGATTGTTGCATACGTGAGTTAATGGAACTTTTGCAGACTATAATTAATCAGGAGAACCCATATGCGCTTGCATTTAAAAACATGGCAGAAGTTGAAGATGCAGAAATTCGTCAAGCTGCTATAGAAGGTCGACCGATTTCTGTTGTCAAAATGTCGTTGCTTGAGGGTTGTGATAGACGTCGATACAATCTTCCATCACATGAAGAGGTTGCCATTGTGTTTGTAGGAAATGATGGTGCTCCACCTCCATCTAGAGAAGTTGTTATTTATCCTCGAGGTCAACCCTTAAAAACAATTTCAAGTATGTCTGCAAATCTAGATCCAATGATATATCCAATATTTTTTCCAAGAGGTGATGCAGGATGGCATGATCAACTAGAGCACAATCCTGACCGAGCAACACGTGTTCGAAATCGTGTTACTTTATCTCAGTACTACAACTATAGGCTTTCTATTAGACAAACGTTCAGTCCTATATTTTATGGTAAGAAACTTTTTTAACAGTATGCTGTTGATGCATATGTCAAGATTGAAGGACAGCGCCTTGCTTTTATCAGAAATAACCAAAACAAACTTAGAAGTGAACAATACGATACATTACATGAGTATGTAAATAATGTTGCAAATAACCTTAATGTAAGACCGGGTCGTGTTGTTATACTACCATCCTCATATGTTGGAAGTCCAAGAGCTTTAAAAGAAAATTTTGAAGATGCAATGGCAATTATAAAGAAATATGGTAAACCAGATCTTTTTATTACTTTTACCTGTATTTCAAAATGGAGAGAAATTACAGAAAATTTAAATCCAGGTGAGAGCGCAACTGACAGGCCTGATTTAGTTTGTCGCGTATTTAAGATGAAACTTAAATGCTTCTTAGGTGATATTTTTAAACATGGAGTCTTAGGCAAAGTTGTAAGTCATGTACAGGTTATTGAGTTTCAAAAACGTGGTTTGCCACATGTGCATATTTTATTACACTTTGTAAGCGATGATAAGCTAGAAACAGCAGAGGATATTGATAGTTTAATATCAGCTGAAATTCCAGATCAAACTGTTGATCCTGAACTTTTTGAAATTGTAAAAACATGTATGATTCATGGACCATGTGGGATTTTAAATCCCAATTCTCCTTGCATGAAAGATGGAGTTTGCACACAAAAATTTCCTAAAGAGTTTAATCCTTGCACTGTTGCAATTTTCAATGGTTATCCTAACTACAGGCGTTTAGATAATGGTAGAGTAGTCATTATAAAAGGTAACCAAGTTGATAATCGATGGGTCGTACCCTATAACCCCTGGTTATCAAAAAAATACCAAGCCCACATTAATGTTGAAGCTTGCATGTCTATTAAGTCAGTGAAGTATTTATACAAATATGTCTATAAGGGGCATGATTGTGCGAATGTGGTAATTAATGAAAGTGTTGACCATGATGAAATTAACACATATTTAGACTGTCGCTTTGTTTCCGCCCCAGAGGCTCTTTGGCGAATATATGAGTATTCCATAAGTGATATGTCACATACTATTATCCGCCTTCAAATCCACCTTCCTGATAATCAGAGAGTATATTTTAACGAAGGAGAAGAACAAGTAGCTATAGATCGTGCAGCACAGCGTGACACTCACCTAACCGCTTGGTTTAAGTTAAATGCTGAAAATAATGAAGCACGTCAGTATTCTTATGTTGAAATTCCATATCACTTTGTTTTTGGTAAAAATTGCATGTGGAAAGTAAGGCAAAGAGGTAGTGATAAGGTGGTTGTTCGAATGTATAAAGTCAGTTCATTTTGCGAATTATTTTTTCTCAGGTTGTTACTTTTGCATGTAAAAGGTGCAAAGTTTTTCGAGGATTTGCGTACTGTTCATGGTACTGTTTTTAATACATTTCGTGAAGCATGTTATCATTTAGGTTTATTGCAAGATGACATTGAGTGGAGAAATACATTAATTGAAGCTGCTGCAACTCGGATGCCTAAACAAATTAGGCTACTGTTTTGCATCATATTAACTTTATGTGAACCTGATGATCCTTTACACCTTTGGAATACATTTAAAAATTATATGGTTGAGGATTACTTACACCATTCAATGCCAGTCGTACTTGCTGAGCAGGCAGCTCTTCGTCAAATTGAATCTATAATTAATCAGAGTGGTAAAACCTTAGCTGATTATAATTTGCCAGCTTTAGATCAGTTTTTAGATAATGTCCCAGAAAATGATGATGAAGATGTTCAGGTGTTTATTGATGAAGCAAACCGAGTTAGACCATTATTGAATGATAATCAACGTAATGTAGCTGATGCGATCCTTGCTGCACTAAGTGTGGAACCTACTAATGAAAATAAGCATTCAAGGTTGTTTTTTATGGATGGGCCTGCCGGTTGTGGTAAAACATTTACTTACAACTATTTAATTTCTGAAACACAGAGCAGGCATATTAGAACTGCAACAGCTGCATGGACAGGAATAGCTGCAACTCTTCTCAAAAATGGGTGCACAATGCATGGCTTATTCAAACTTCCTGTTCCAATTTTGGAAACTAGCACATGTAATGTAACTCCAAACTCTATTCATGGTAGATTCCTGAGACAAATCAGTTTGTATTTACTTGATGAAGCATCTATGATACCCAAATATGCTTTGAGTGCCATTGATAAGCTATTACAAGATATTTGTAATAACAACTTTCCTTTTGGTGGTAAGGTTATTCTTATGGGTGGAGACTTCAGACAAATACTTCCAGTTGTGAAGCGAGGTCGACCAGCAGAAGTTATAGAATCATGTTTAAAATGTTCTGAACATTGGCAATATGTGCAAAGGTTCTCATTAACTGTAAACATGAGGGTTCAGATAGAAGAAGAGGAATTTTCTCAATGGCTTTTAAAGCTTGGAAGTGGAACATTACCTGTCAAGCCTGAAGATCCTTTGCGAGGGTGTATTGAAATACCTGAGCAGTGCTTTCTCAGTGATAATGAATCTATTGTGGAGAAGATTTTCGGTGGTGCAGAAGAAGGTGATTATGCAAAACGTGCTATTTTAACGCCAACAAATGTTGATTCATTGGCAATAAATGAAGAAGTCCTTCATCGCTTACCCGGTGATGTGAAAACATATTTAAGTTCAGATAGCATTGATACTGATGATCTTAATGAAATTAATAATTTTCCAGTCGAGTTTTTAAATAGTTTGACTCCATCAGGTATGCCTGTTCATTGCCTAAAATTAAAAATTGGTGCTGTTATAATGCTACTTAGAAATTTAGATCTCAAAGGTGGACTTTGTAATGGAACCTGTTTGATGGTGCGTGCATTACACAACAATTATATTGATGGTGAGGTTTTAACAGGTGTATCAGCTGGTAACAGGGTATTTGTTCCTCGAGTTCAATTAGCTCCATCAGATGCAAATTTACCTTTTACACTTAAACGCCGTCAGTTTCCAGTTAGGTTAGCATACTCAATGACCATAAATAAAAGTCAAGGTCAAACATTTGAAAAAGTTGGTGTTTATCTCAAAAAACCTTGCTTTTCACACGGCCAATTATATGTTGCATGTTCAAGAACAAGATCATTTAATAGTTTGTTTTTCAAAGTTGATAAACATCCATTACAAGGTACGTCATTTAACAAACATTACACAAATAATGTTGTCTTTACAAATGTTCTTAATTTATAATTTTGACAAGTATATTATGTGTTATATGTGTTTTATATTTTTTGTATGTTTTTTTTTTTTTTTTTTTGCTATATGTGTATATAAATGAATGTGTTTATATGCGTTTATATATCTTTATTTATATTTATGTGCTTAAGTTTATACAAGTTTATATTAAGTTGTTTCCATGTGAAAAGTGGTGTTACTTGGCAACGTGTAGTGCAAGATTGTGATTCTTGCTAGCCAAGCGGTGTTACTAATTAGTGGTGTTACTTGGCACTTAATGCCAAGCGGTGTTACTAAATTGTGGTGTTACTTGGCAGCGTTTAGTGCCAAGCGGTGTTACAAGTGTTGAGCTAGGTTGTGTTGTCTAGCTTTTTTAATTATTCTGGAAACACATAATCTGAATATTTTGTGTTATGTGCAAATGTGTTATGTACAAATATTTGATGCTATGTGTATTCAGTAGCATAGGCAGGGTCTTTTGATGCTTCAGATAGCATTTTCAACCAAACTTAAGTGTATTCACGTTTATAGAATTAAAATACTTTGCAAAAAATTGATGTTTTTAAAGCTTAGGAACAAATTTTTAAAAAAAGTGTTTTTCTTAACCTGAATTTTTTTAGACATAACAAAGTTAAACTCTTCAACAGCTTCTAAATATATATCTGAAACAACAAAAATCCTGCCTACACTACTGGTGTTATTGTTTGTCATCCTGTAATGTTGTTGTGATGTTTTGTGTTGATAGACAGCTTGGCTTACCTTCACGTTGGTGTCTATCGTTAAAAATGATTATTGGGTAGCTTCATTACTGAAACTTACTCCTAATCATTCACTAAAAGCCAAGAAATATTTTAAGAAAAAATGCCTAATTTTTTTGTGTCAGTAAGAATTTTTATCTTTAGCAATGCTGATAAAACTGAATTTTTTTAAAAAAAGAGTTATTCCAGCCTTCCAACCAAATATTAGAGACTTCTAAAAAAGCACTCTCACAAAGTAAGTGTCTAATCTTCTATATAATATTGCCGAACTAATTTTTACTAAATTTTGTTTCGTATTTTTCATTTCTCAAATGAATTAACATAAAACAAATAAATGTGCATTCAGTGTTATCAATAATGATTTTATTTCATTTTTAGATAATGCTTTTATAATCAATTTAAAAGTCTTTCAAATCGTTAACCATTTTCTAAAGGCGAAGAAGAAGAATCATCAATCTTCATACCATTTAATAAAGCTATTTTAATAAAACGCAATACAAATTGTTGTAAATTAGTATTTGAATAATTTTCACGTTGTTACCTTATTTTGCAGTTTCCTATCACTTTGTATTGAATTAACTAAATCCAATATTACAGTTCCTTTTATCAAGTACTTCACATTTTCTGTTTTTGTTTTATGCAGAAAAACAGATCAAATTAATTTATTTGACTTGCCTAGCTACTTATTTTACAGGCCTAGCCACAGTGAGTGTGCATAAATCAACAGAGGATTTGGGTTTGGGCAGGTTGTCTTGAACTAAATGATTTACCTTCTTCATGTTAAGCTCTAAATATAAATATACGGAAAAGGTGCATATGTGAATTTTTTTTTTCTAGCACATAATCTATTGTTCACTAAATAATATTTGAGGGAGAAATAGAGATAAGGTTAATGTGGAATAGAGTTTGTCTTTTTAAGTGAAAAACTATTTTATAATCTATCTATCTTCTTCTATATAATATTGCCGAACTTAATAGTAGTGTTAGTAGAAAGAGTCGCAGCACTTTTTTTAGAAGAAAACGTGTATGCAAATATCTAACGTACGTAATTAAGTAATGATAAAACATACTGAAACA